TCATTAACGTAGAGAAGGAAGAGCAGAGGGGAAATAGAAACAATAACGGGGCGGATTTGCATGCATATAGCATACAATTCTCTTTGAACCTAGCACACAACAATAGCGTCATGCACTTTTTGCGTTACTTTTTCATTTCTGCTTTGTGCACAACCAAATTATGAAATTAATTACGAATAAATTTGAAAGTCTATTTTTCGTTTTCATAATTAAGTGAAAAGGTGTTTTTCCATTTTGCTTTACATGGTATCGCGAAGTCCTTGAAAATTCATTAATCAGGTGCTGCTATAATAGTTTTTTCGTATTTGCATCGCAGACTAGCAATTATTTCTACTCAGGTATACATTGATGGTAAACAAGACTATTTTTTTTAAAAAATAGCATAATTCAGGCATATATCGTCATAAAAATTGTATAGTCGTCAAGGCTACCAAAACTGCGTTACAACTAACGATACCATGGTAAGATTTATCGTTTTTCCCGTCTTTATCACAATTTCGGCTGATCTTTACTGTTTTTTCGACTTTCACGGCAGAAATAGGTTGATAGTGAAAACATTAGGTGTATCGAGTGTTGTAAATATTATGTATATGCTATAGATGATAAGAACACATACCAAGATCCCAAGCTACCAGCTTTGGTGAAATTTTGGGGAATTTCGGGGAACTTTGGGGAAATTTTGGGGAAATCCCCAAAATGAAATAGTTTTCCCCAAACTTTGGGGAAATTTAGGGGAAATCCCCAAAATTGCCGTAGCGCATTTTTGCACACCAACATTTCATCGACATAATATAAATAAGCCTCACAGTAGTAAATGTGAATGGAGAAATTTACATTTTAATTCAATACAGACTTTTGATGAGAGATAATCTATGGAATTCCAGGTCTTGTTTTAATACATTAACAATCAGTAGACAAAGAGTTGTCGGATTTAAAGCACTTTTTCAAAATTTCAAAGCCATGCAGGTGGGAAAATTTGGTTGCTGTCTATGTTCAGTTTTACTTAAGTGAATTAATTCTTTCAGAATAATAATAGACAGCTCGATAAGATTGCGAGAAGGCGGGCAGCAGACACGAAATACCCTAGGTTGTTTGGCTGTTCCCGATCAACCTATTACAGAAGGTTGAGGAAAGTAAAAGCACAGTTTATAAAAAAGTGTCAGTTACCGAGCTGTGACGAAGAGACAGTCAATCCAGTTGTCGCTACAGAATCGTGTACTACCGTAGCTACAGAGCAGTGGGCTAATGTTGTCACAGATACAGCTAGTGCTTCATGTAGTCACGTCCAGTGTTTAGACAACACAATCAACGGTAGTATCTGTTGAATTATTAAAATCTTATAGGTTGTGTGATTTCAGAAATGTCCCCAGCCATTCATCCTTCGGTGAAAGACGAGTTAGACAAAATGGTCATTGAATTAATGAAAGGTGGTTGTATAAGCATAAAGAAGGCTGATGAAATATTGGACATTTTTCGTGCGCGGTATCCAGAACTTCCAACGTCCGTCCGAAGTGTTCTACGTCGATGCAACGACGTGGAGCCTAAGATCCTAAATTCTGGAACGTATCACCATTTAGGATTAAAATCCAGTCTTTTGAGAATTTCAGGAAATTGGCTTCGTCGAATCCGTTTCAACGAATTGCAGTTGCATTTAAACTACGATGGTCTAAGTTTGTTCAAAAGCTCTAACCAACAGCTGTGGCCGATCCTAGGTCGCATAGTAGCTCCACTAGTTAGTAGTGTTTTCGTAGTTGGGATCTACGGTGGTGAAGTAAAACCATCTGATTTCAACGACATGTCAGCAACACTTATAACAGAGTTACAGGAGTTGCTGACAGTAGGTATTAATATAAATAAGTATCACCTAAATTTAACAGTTAAATTAGTTGCTGTTATTTGTGACGCTCCAGCTCGCAGCAACGTCAAGTACATTGTGGGACACAATGGTTTCTCTGGCTGTGACAAATGTCAGGTTTTAGGGACGCGAATGGGTGGTCGAATGACTTTCCCCAATGGTGAACACGACTTAAGTAATGATGTCACTTTTCGTGGTAGGTCCCAATCTATCCATCATCGTGGTACAAGTTCATTTGAAAATCTGCCAGTGGATATGATTAAAAGTTTCCCCTTTGAACCCATGCATATGATTTACTTAGGTGTTACCAAAAAAACTTGTTTCATTATGGAAGGAGCAAGCTATTAAGCGACTTAATGGGATGGATCAATCAATCATCGCATCAATGAACGATGCTCTAGACTCATGTAGACAACACACTACATACGATTTTCAACGGGAAATGTCGTTCACTTAATGAAGTTTCTGTATGGAAAGCAACTGAATGTCGGTTGTTCTTATTATATTTAGGACCTGTAGTTCTTCATAATAGGTTACCACTATCAATGTACAGAAACTTCCAGTCACTCTCCTTGTCTATTTATTTATTATCGCACCCTAAGTTTCATAGCACATTCGCTAACAGTGTTAGGGTTTACATTAATAACTTTTTATTAGGTTACGAAAGGTGTTACGGTACCGAACATTTAATCTACAATGTGCATAGTTTAAAGCACATTGCAGACGACGTTAATGAACATGGTACTTTAGAATCGTTCGCAGCATTTCCTTTTGAGTCTTACATGAGAAAGATTAGGCGTTCAGTACACTGTGGATTTGCTGTGGCAAAACAAGCCGCACAGCGATATGCCGAAGAAGTTTACTTTCAAAGTGTACTGAATCAGGATATGGCTGACAATGTCACTGAGCATGAGGTAACTGATAATTCTTCCAAGCAAATGGTCAGTTACAGAAACTCAAAGCTATCTACTACAAGGCCTGACAATGTAGTTATTGCTAAAGGTAGACCAGGGTTCGTAACAGAAATACGTGATGGAGGCCTTATTAGGTTCCGGCCATTCCATAATCCTTCCGATTTATATACCGACCCTTTTCCCTCCAGTAATATTGGTATGTTTGTGTTCTACCTTAAGCCACGAATGCACGTGGATAACACTAGCAGACATACTTTGTAAGTGCATGTGCTTGCGCACACAACATTATGAGGTAATTATCCCTCTTTTGCATACATTCGAGTAGCAGATGTGACATCATTTCTCAAGGACTGTTGCAAATATAGCACTTTAGCCAGTAACGGTCTGTTGGTTAGGGATTTTGCGTCCTCCATCAGGAAGTGTTACTGAATTTTCATCAATGCAATAAATGTACAATTTTTCACGCATGCGCATTGATTTACAGCATCAAAGTGCAAAGTACATCTTAGTTGACGATAAGGAGAACAAGCAAGTGGTCTGCATTCCGAACAAATGGCTCCTGACCAACGATCATTACCTTTATCGTGATGATATCAGTGAGCACAAAATTGTTGACGGTATTGATGTTGACAGTCGATTCAACGTGAGAAAATGTGTCGTTGTGCATCCTTGTGGTAAGTTGTAATCAATTAGCATTTATTGTTTTCAGACAACTACAATGTAGCCCAGCAATTAAAAGTGTGTTTAGCAACAGTACTGGGCTACAATACTAACATCACGACTAACGATGAAACGCAGCCTTGTGACGCTAAAAAACCAAAAAGGTCAATTGTTCAGCTTATTATATCCTTTTTGTTAGAACTGTCAAACGAAAGCACAACGATTATCTATGCACCTCTGAAGAACTAGAGGTTGCTGAGGTTGAGGCTGGATTTGCCCCGGTAGAATTTCCAGTTGTCAACATTTCAAGAGGAACCTTTTCTCCGATTGCGAGGTTTGTACCTACTTTATCAAAACTCATATATCAGTTCATCGAAAGCGGACTTTTCATCACCAGCGATTCTACGTACGTCGACTGAAGGTGATAAACCGTAAGAACGCAACTCCTCATGCGTTCTTAATGGGAAATGTATAGCATCACTATCCATTTCCTCTGTACGCCTGTCGATTAGACCCATGGCTAAGCGTCCACACAAAAATAGGATTTTGTCTATTTTCGTAGACAGCTCACTGACCGATTTCAGGAGCGTTCTTAACAGTTTGTTTGTATCATCGCACAAACTTTCGTTATAAGGAATACAGTAAATGCAACTTACGGTTTATCACCTTCAGCCGACGTACGTAGAATCGCTGGTGATGAAAAGTCCGCTTTCGATGAACTGATATATGAGTTTTGATAAAGTAGGTACAAACCTCGCAATCGGAGAAAAGGTTCCTCTTGAAATGTTGACAACTGGAAATTCTACCGGGGAAAATCCAGCCTCAACCTCAGCAACCTCTAGTTCTTCAGAGGTGCATAGATAATCGTTGTGCTTTCGTTTGACAGTTCTAACAAAAAAGATATAATAAGCTGAACAATTGACCTTTTTGGTTTTTTAGCGTCACAAGGCTGCGTTTCATCGTTAGTCGTGATGTTAGTATTGTAGCCCAGTACTGTTGCTAAACACACTTTTAATTGCTGGGCTACATTGTAGTTGTCTGAAAACAATAAATGCTAATTGATTACAACTTACCACAAGGATGCACAACGACACATTTTCTCACGTTGAATCGACTGTCAACATCAATACCGTCAACAATTTTGTGCTCACTGATATCATCACGATAAAGGTAATGATCGTTGGTCAGGAGCCATTTGTTCGGAATGCAGACCACTTGCTTGTTCTCCTTATCGTCAACTAAGATGTACTTTGCACTTTGATGCTGTAAATCAATGCGCATGCGTGAAAAATTGTACATTTATTGCATTGATGAAAATTCAGTAACACTTCCTGATGGAGGACGCAAAATCCCTAACCAACAGACCGTTACTGGCTAAAGTGCTATATTTGCAACAGTCCTTGAGAAATGATGTCACATCTGCTACTCGAATGTATGCAAAAGAGGGATAATTACCTCATAATGTTGTGTGCGCAAGCACATGCACTTACAAAGTATGTCTGCTAGTGTTATCCACGTGCATTCGTGGCTTAAGGTAGAACACAAACATACCAATATTACTGGAGGGAAAAGGGTCGGTATATAAATCGGAAGGATTATGGAATGGCCGGAACCTAATAAGGCCTCCATCACGTATTTCTGTTACGAACCCTGGTCTACCTTTAGCAATAACTACATTGTCAGGCCTTGTAGTAGATAGCTTTGAGTTTCTGTAACTGACCATTTGCTTGGAAGAATTATCAGTTACCTCATGCTCAGTGACATTGTCAGCCATATCCTGATTCAGTACACTTTGAAAGTAAACTTCTTCGGCATATCGCTGTGCGGCTTGTTTTGCCACAGCAAATCCACAGTGTACTGAACGCCTAATCTTTCTCATGTAAGACTCAAAAGGAAATGCTGCGAACGATTCTAAAGTACCATGTTCATTAACGTCGTCTGCAATGTGCTTTAAACTATGCACATTGTAGATTAAATGTTCGGTACCGTAACACCTTTCGTAACCTAATAAAAAGTTATTAATGTAAACCCTAACACTGTTAGCGAATGTGCTATGAAACTTAGGGTGCGATAATAAATAAATAGACAAGGAGAGTGACTGGAAGTTTCTGTACATTGATAGTGGTAACCTATTATGAAGAACTACAGGTCCTAAATATAATAATAACAACCGACATTCAGTTGCTTTCCATACAGAAACTTCATTAAGTGAACGACATTTCCGTTGAAAATCTACGCGTAGATGACCGACGTCGTCTCCTTTGCCTAGGTTGTGTTGGCGAGTTAGAAGTTGTATGCTCTTCGGAAGAATGATTATTACTATCATCATCTACATCCTAAACGCAAGCATCTGACTCTGACAAACTGCGTTTACGTCCATATGTACAGACATAACTCTTTGCATACTTACATAACGTACTTAATATGCGTATACTAAAAAAAATATTATTAACCACAGAAGTCATATTACCTATATTATGCATCATCACGATGGCATCGTCTTCGTTACTTGAAGAATGAACGTTAACAGACATGGTGTGGCTGAACTCAATTGAAATCCAAAAATGTCTTGATTTGACCGCTTCTAAAAATTTTCACGAATCGTCGATGTGACGCACCAATCATATTGCGACAGATTGACCTTCAAGTGCCCGCAACCCCCATCAGTGGACGATACCCCAGGAGCGTTGTCCTAGTCTTGCTGGCATTCTTTTTACTCCCCATCGTTTATTGTGACTTTAAATTAAGTGATTCAAAGCTCCTTCTGCCTTACTACAGTGTTAATCCCGTGAATTACACTCTACATGGTAGCGAGGGGGCTTGCTATGAATGGTAAGGTGGTTAGTTTTTTTAACACTGTAGGCATTCGGGCACACCGGAGGTAGCAGTAGTAAGCCCAATAGTATCATCTGAGAATGGCTGCTCTTCTGCTGCTGTTATAACTGCGGTCTGGCAATCACGGCACAGGGCTGTGGCCACCATATATGCCAAAATAATTAGTAAATATGTGCACTTTTCAAAACATTTCTAGATGCTGATCACATTGTTAAGTGTGATGTAATCGTTGACGACATACATCGGATCGAAATCGCCACTACCACACAAGAGCTTTATCTGCATAATACACCAGTTTCTCTTGTAGTAACTGCTTATGATGAATATGGCAATACCTTCACGTCACTTGAAGGTGTACCATTTGAGTGGCGTATATTTGAAGACAAATATGAAGAGTTCGGAGACATTCAAGGTGTATTAAGATTTATCACGTGGAGGGAGTCGGAATATACAACTCCAAGTACAATGGCTTTACTTGAGTCGAAAGGAATGCAGGTTAGCTAATAACAATATATCTTATTCCTGTAGGGCTACATGCAACTAATAAGTGGTTTGCGTACTGGCTCTGCGGTCGTTAGTGTGGCTCTTCATGAGTCTATTTACAAAAGTGTATTACCCAGTCAGGTTCGTCTTCTCGTTATGGCTAATGCCCAATTGAGCCCAGCACTAGCCTATCTTGTCCCAAATTCCTTGCTGACTTTCACCGTACACGTTATTCAACAAGGTGATGACCAGGGTAAGTATTGTATTGTTACATATCTCTTCTTTACTGTACTAATTAGGAGTAATTATGGTAACATTACATTTCAGCAATTAGTTTCCACGCATAATCCTGTTATTATGTCTTTGTGCTTTTACTAATCACCTGATTCACCGGGCTAAGTTTTATTGCTCCAGTATTTAGCTGCAGGTTGCAATGCGGCCTTTGTAAGTTCATGATCTCTAGTTCTTACATTGCCATCATCTCACCATGTAAAGCAATATAATTCTTTCATTTAGTCTTGCTTCATTGGATGTATTGTCTGCGCTCTGGTTTCATTCTCGTCTGGATTGTTTCAGATTTTTTGACGGAAGTGGCACATTTGAGTGTTGAAAATCATTTTCTGATTATCAATTAGCTGTTTCTGCTGATACCCTACTTGAGCGTACTTGTACATGGACGTTTTATATCACGTTGTTTGGAGACTGCGGTTGTAAATAAATAATATATTTGTAATATCCCAAAGAGTAGAAAAATTAGATTTTCCGGCGTTTCGTGACTTCGTGTAAGCCACTTCTTCAGAGCATAAATAAACACTATTTGGTTATTCATCCCCTGAAGAAGTGGCTTACACGAAGTCACGAAACGTCAGAAAATCTAATTTTTCTACTATTTGGGATGTTACAAATATATTATTTATTTATAACAATCTATTCAATGCTCAATTTATTCGAAATTATCTAGTAAAATTTTGGTAATGATACCTGTATGCGATGTTATTCCAAAATAAATGTGTAAATACTGACATAATGCGATCCCAAGGTTTGTAGACCTTTAATTTACGGGACTCACACATTTACTACAAAATATGTGGATAGATTCTGTCGTCCACCTACACATCTCTTCTGTGAATGTTCGTGTTTTTCTGGTCAAATACTGCCCTAAAATTGATCAAAATTTAAAAGAACCATAATTAATAATCTTGAGGGATATCACAGTTTCATCTTTAAGCAATTGTTGAATAAGTTTAAGTGATACCCCAAAATATAGTAAATTTCAAACAACCTGTTCATATATGAAATGTTTTGTATGAGAACTTTCATCATTTATTTAGTTAAATGAGTATAAATTTATATCCCACTCCTCATTTTTCAGAGGTCGCCATGCCATCTTTACAATACCACTTGCAGGTGAATGATACGAACTTGGCTGTTCTTAGCCCACTTGATGGTTCAACTCTTAAAGCTCTAAATTATGGTCAAACTGAAGTTACACTTCTTGATCGAAGTAAGTTAAATGTTTCAACATTACTCATTTATTCCATGCGTAATATAATTGAATTAAATTATGCCAATATGTGAACTAGCACCTCTCAATCTATTTTACTTTTAAATCAACTTTTATTTACTATTAGATGTCGAAGAAGCCCTAGAAAAATTGGACGAGGTTTTAAACTCTAAAGTCGATGATTCAGATCTTCGTCTGCCAAAACGAAGACGTCCAACTTCACTCATACAGATTGTAGAGCCAGCCTATCTGGGTTTTACACTCATTCAAAAGTCTACCAATAAAAAGCCAGATATATGCCAACTGGCTTCATTTTTAAACTCAGGGTCATATGGTAATCAGGTTGCATCCGGTTCTTATATGCCTATTCGAAGATGGATTATGGAGTCAGGGAAAGTTTATGTCATCAATCTAGATATATATGATCGTAATAACCACCGTTTATATCCTTCAGACAATCTGCGACTGTCTCTTTATTTTCCAGAAAGCCATTTTGAGGTAAGACTATTTGTTTATTCTGACAGCTTTTCTAAGTGTTCCGTTTGTTGATGTACTGGACTAAACTAATCGACTGGTTTAATATGATGTATAGGTTTTTGTTGAGCTGTTTTGGTACTTGTGTTAATAGCATGGCAGTTTTGAATATGGCTATGATGTATATAAGTCTATTCGAAGTCTCACAATGAACAGTATGACATACATCTACATGATAAGATAAGACGCGACTTTGGTTCTAATGTTACTTCTGCGGAGCCCGAGATCTAATATAAGAGATTGCTCTCTGTAAGTTTTGATAACTGATTCGTTAGCCGCTACCAAGGACAATTTAGTGCTTGTCATATGTTGTCTGCGTGAGAGATGGAGTGGGATGATGCTGATTTCTGCTCCAGTATCGACTAAAAAGTCTGAGCCAGAAATACGATCCCTGATGTGGAAGAGGCGGCTAACATGTTGACCAGTAACAGCTGCCGCCATTACTGTCTGGCCACTTCGTTTCCCTGATGGTCTGGCTTGTTTGTCGTGAAGTTGCACGGTTTTGTGCAACGACGTGCTTTCTCACCATAATTCGAATGATGCCAACAATTTCGGCTGCCCGCTTAGGTGACCTAAGACGATGTCTGGATACTGATCTCCTTCTAGACGTAGATCTGGGACGTCGAGAATGGATGGTGGAAATAGTCGCCTGCAGTGATGCTAGCTGCTGTGTTAAGTGTGCCATTTGTTGCTGAATGTCAAGAGGAGGGTTCATAGCGTCTCTACTAGAGGGTTGTACTGCGTTAATTCCCCGACTATCGGGATATATTTCTATCACCTTATCGGCCATGTCTGCTAAATCATCAAGACTGACAGAGGCTCCTGATACGCTGAGAATTTGTCTGACGCTATAAGGTAACCTTTGTGACCATATCTACTTAAGTAATGCTTCGTCTAACTTGTATGAGCTGCTAGTTGTCTCATATGTCTAAGCAACTGTGAAGGTCTTTTGTCCCCTAACTCGCATGCGGTGAGTAGTTGCTGTAAGCGTTTTTGGCGAGACTCTAATTTAGCGACGAACCAATCAGAAGCGTTTGAGCAATCTCAATGTCACGGAGCCAAGTTCAACACGCGATGCTAACATACGATCGTTTCACAGCGGATTTTACTGAAGATGTGATTATTGAGAGGTTACAACAGAAGGGACTATTGAGAAGTTCATGTACGTGTGACTGTGGTCATCAAATGACTACAACAAATTCTGGAGACCCTCATGAAGAAATAATGCTTCGTTGTTCTGCATGTTGGAAGAAAAAGTCTGCCCGAGCGGGAACTTTTTTTGCTCGATCACGGCTGAGACTTAGACAAATCATGATAATAGTGGCGAATTGGGTAATAAGAACACCAGTAACACTGGCTGCGGCGTTTGCAGACGTTACTGAAACTTCCGCGGTCCAGTGGTATGAGTACTGCCGCGACATATGCGCGACCAAAATGACACAAGTACATGAAACATTTGGAGGAGTTGGAAGGATAGTGGAAATAGACGAGACAGTAGTCAGAAAGAGAAAATACAACAAAGGACGTTCTATTAAGGAAGATTGGGTAAGTAGTACTTCCGTAAATATACTTGACAGGTACTTGGATTTTACGATCGTTCTACTCAAAAGGGACATTTACAAAAAGTGAGGAACCGTCAGGCAAGAACAATAATACCAATAATAAAGGAATACGTCCAGCCTGGCACGACGATCTATACAGATGATTGGAGAGCCTACAGATGCCTCGAGAGACTTGGGTTTGTGCATCGTGTTGTAGTGCACAAACGCCATTTTGTCGACCCGACGACAGGAGTTCACACAAACAATATTGAAGCTATGTGGTCCAGACTAAAGGAATTTTTAAGACCATACCACGGCTCTAGAGGACGACTGTTATGGAGCCACATGGACGAGTTTCTTTACCGCATGCATTACAATTTCAGGACTTCTGAACCTTTATCAAACCTTAACAAGTTTTTAAATCATGTAAAAGAAGAATACCCACTGTAATTCACTAGTTTTTTATAATATATTTTTACTTTATCCTAACTGTCTTCTGATTGGCTAATAATTGTCAAGGTCATTTGAGATTCGTTCAAAGGTCGTCGCTAAATTAGAGTCTCGCCGCGTTTTTCATCAGACTGCGAAGTACGGTGGATTACTGCGGCTTTTATTTTGTCATAGGGGTCCGTTTCTGGTACGTTATCAATCAGGTCTCCGACTTCTGCTGCCACTTCTATGGGTAATGCTCCAACGACGTATGCATATTTTGTCGCTTGCGAGCGTATACCTCTCGACAAAAATAATGCCTCAACCTGTGCAAACCAGATCCTGGGATTATTAACACCGTACGTTGGTAATCTTAGTTCAGAAATAGCGTTGATTGAGTTTAAAACATTATCCTCTGGTTGTGGAGAGTTTAGAAGGTTGGTCGGTGAACTATCAATATCAATAAGTTTACCCGGAGAGTTCATAATGACAAAAACAAAAATATGGTGTCGTGCCGATTAATAATAGTAAAAAAAATTATGTGAATATATATAGTAAATGTCCATAAAAAAAATAATCGAGGCTCACCAAATAATTGTGGTGGACCAAACAGATATGAACGCGAAACGTATAAACAAAGTTATTAAAAATCAATAGTAATATTAATATATACAATTAATTGTTACTAATACAATAATAATTAAGGACGTTACTTAAATTGCCCAAACGTTGCGTGTTCTGATTAGGTCCAGTAATGTAAATCCACAATTATAAATGCTTGATGACTCTGAGCAGGTTGGCGAACTCTCTAGCGATATAGTCCAACGTAGGATGTGATATATTCCGATTATAGTCTATAAATGTAGATAGTATTTGATTTAGACTTTTGTTAACTCAATCACAAATGAAAATAGAACGAGGAATGGGTGAGTAGTAATGTATTTGTTAACCAGCAAGAATATGTCACGCCATGTATTAGCTCAACGGAAAGTGTGTTCAAGGTCATTGAGTAAAACAACACGTACAGTCATTTAATGATGAATGTACATACAGTGAAAAATTGACAAACAAATACAAATAATATTAAAAACTATTTACAAAATAAGCTTGTCAGTCATATCTCCACAAATATATAACCAATCATTTTTAATTGTTAATCAATTTACTCGTGACTGAAATGTATTTATTCAATAATACTAAACGAATGTGGTGCACTTTGAAGTCTATGCTAATATTGACTATAAATAAAATAAACTTTAATTGACAAAATACTACTAAATTGAATATAAACTTTGATTTACATCTTGATAAATATTTCTTGTACATATTGAAATGTTAATTTTCTTTTTGAAAATACCATCAAAGAGATGTTTCAGTCATATTACAATCAAAACTCTAGGAATAGGAAGTTTCTTGATTATATTATTGTTTACATTATATCATCTGTCAATTCCACCTAAGATACACATATATAATTCAGACCATATCCAAATAAAACGACACATTGCTAGTCATGTTTGTGAATATCTTTTCAAGAACTCTACTATGAATCACAGTCATGAAATTTCTGACAGTAATCAATCATTGTGGAATGACAGAAGTTTCAGTTTATCAAATCCATACAGTTGCAAACAGTTCAAGTTGTTCTATGGTCATACTGTTAATTTGTCAAAGGAAGAAGAACAATTTCCACTGGCATTCAGTATAGCTATACATCAAAGCAATAAACAAGTATCTCGTCTCCTTCGTTTGATCTATAGACCACATAATTTATATTGCATTCATGTAGATTCGAAATCTCCGCAAACATTCTATGATGAAGTTTTAAATTCTGCTAAATGTTTCGGTCCTAACGTTATAGTGGTTAATAGATCAGAAAGTGTAAATGTTCAATGGGGTTATTTTTCCGTACTTGAAGTGTTTCTTTTATGTGCGGATAAATTATTAAATAATACTGACTATATGTGGAAATACATTCTAAATCTAACTGGGCAAGAACTGCCTTTAAGAACAAACTGGGAGTTGGTTGCAGCACTGAAAGCTATAAATGGTTCGAATGTTGTAGAAGGTCTAGGTCCTCGGTTTAACCGTAATAGATGGCCTAATAAGAAATTTGAATTTCCTGTAAGTTAAATGTGATTTTATCACAATGCATTTTCACTATCAATAATAAATTATTAATTTAAGCGAACTTTTAAGTATATTTTTTATGTTTTTTAACATTGTTATTTCGCGAATTAGTAAAAGCAATTTACGCAAGAAATTTTAAGTCAAAGGAAAATCAGCATGATATAATACAAATATGAAATAATAATCCATAAGTTAGTAACTAAACTAGTTAGAAGTAAACATGTTGATACCTTCTTTGGGAGTCGAGATTCACAGGGAAAAATTAATGAGACGTAAAAGTTGTTTAGATGATACTTTTTATGGTGATTCATTTGTTAACTCATTTAGTTCAAGAAAATAACTATAATTTTGAAATTATTGGTTTAAGACAAATACTATTCAAAAATGTTGGAAAGTCATAATTAGAAATCATGAAATGATCGAAGCAAGACTACCTTTGAAAACCTGGAAATACTGGACAATCATTTTGTTCCAATATGGAACTCCTCAAGAGTGCACATATTCAACCCTGAATGTAGGAATCGAATCCAGGACCTTAGGTCTCATACACGAACACTTGATCTCCAGACCATTGAGTTGGCATTCAATGGTATTAATACCTAACTTCGACCAATCCACGACATAACGTGACCATCTTCCATTGTTGTCGGTGGGTAACTGTCTCACACCCGATACAGTTTAATAATACAAAACATTATAGTGGATTAAGAGAGATATGAAAAAAAAATCGAAACTTGGAGATGTTTTTTCTGAACTGTATGGTTTAATTTCGAAATTTTTATCATTATCGTAAGTAGCATCATCGGTGACTAATTCAAGTACGAGAATGATAATGTAACGGTTTCAGTTAAATAATCAGTGTTGATTGGTCATATATGGCTTACAATAACTTTCATATTAAGGTTAAAATCCAAAATAAATCATTTTTTCTATAATGAGAAAATAATCGACTCAGTTAAAATGAGCTAAATGGTTGTTTTTATACCTTCAAATCATCTAAAATTATCGATTTATGACTGTATTTGTGTGATTGATCTTATAACTACAACCATCTGATTATGAACTTATTCTATTACTATGCTGGTACATAATTAGCTTAATTGACCTATTACTGGTGTTTACAACAGTTTACATTTTCTCAGTAATACTACAAATGTTAAGCATGAATTCGCTATTAGAATATATTTCAAAAAATAATTACTATAACTTTAAGAAATGATTAATTTAGAGATTACACACTTTTCAATCCTTTAAACTGGAGTTTTATTCATATTCAATTTATTTTAAAATTTCGTTTGATTAAACTTCGAGTTATTTGAGTTTGGAAATTGAACCCAGGAAACTCCTTCAGAATTTCAATAATGTTTATCATATTGTCTCAGTAGGAAAAAAATACTTAATTACAAACCACCTTATCACTTTCTGAACATACCAACTCAAAGGAAAGTCGAAAACGGTCAGACTATAATTTATGGAGACATTTAAGCAACGCTATAGAGACCTTGATAACGTCTATCCACATATTACAGCTAAATGAGGGTTATAAACCAGTGTGAGGAATTAGAATTAATATTTACAGTTGATAGTTAGAGTTAGGAATTCGATATAGGGTTTTCATAACGAACTGACATCAGCTATAATGCCAAAACTCTATTTAGCCAAATGGATGAATTAATTTTGCACCAAAATTCAAGACATGCTATCGTAAATCTGATTGGTTCGTCCATAAATTCAATTTTATAATGTAATTCTGAAAACTTTTATCAGTCTTTAGTCTTCAGTAATAAGTATAGGAGGTCTATCGACCTATATTAACCCTTACGGTTTGTAATACTGTGGAGGTCCAATCTCGTTTTGAATATATCAACAGAAGGGGCTGGTATTACGTGTTCCGGCAGAGAAACGAAACTCCAGACGTAAACGATTTGATCTCGGTTTTTTAACTTTCTTCGAATGTCCTCTCAAATAATCAGTCCTGGACGGAATTAAAAGATAGGACATGTTAATACCAAGGTCATCTTTTAGTATACGATAAGCCAATATTAGATCACCCCATACTCTACGGTTAGATAACGGAAATAAGTTGAGGTGTCTCAGTCTGTCTTCACAAGATAGGTCAGATAGACTGTTTACCATCTTAGTACCTCGTCGTTGGACTCTTTCCAGCATCTCTGCTTCATACTTGAAACAAGGACTCACTGCTTGAATCCCATATTCTAAATGTGGTCGCACATAAATCGGGTATAATAGTCTAAACATTTCATCATCTAAATACTGGAAAGACCTACGAATAGACCATAATACCCTATAGCCTTTCGCAGCAGCAGCCTTACAGTGACTAGTGGTTTTGAGATCACTGCCTAATATGACTCCTAAATCTTCATAGTTTTTTACTTTAGGTAGCACGAATCCACATACTGTGTAGTGATACGATTCATCATAGTTATTTATTTGTATCACTACACTCTTATTAGGATTTACTTCTAGTGATCACCTGTCCAACCATGCCACTAATGAGCTAAGATCATTCTGTAATACTATCCTATCCGGCATACTGTGTATGGGTCTCCAAATCTTTATGTCATCAGCGAAGAATAGAACAGATAATTTCGCTTTAGTTGGTAATTCATTTACATAAAGTAATAAGAGAAGACCGAGGATTGTACTTTGGGGAACTCCACTTTTTACAAGTACCCACGAGGAGAGAGCCCCATTAACCCTTACCCTTTGTCTCCTGTCATGCAGAAAGTTACTTATCCAATCTAAGACTGTATAATGGATTCCAAAACGTTCCAGTTTGAATTTAAGACCAGAGTGGGGGACTTTATCGGAGGCCTTACTTGGATCTATGAAGATGACATCCACAGGAATATCCTGACCTTTTGCAGCAGCCCAATCTTCTCTTGCAATGAGAAGATTTGTCAAGCATGATAGGCCTCTCCGAAAACTATGTTGTTCCCTGGAGAGAAGATTATGTCCTTCAACATAAATTATAACAGATACCCAAATGATTTTTTCCATCAGTTTTACAACTGCACTGGTTAAGCTAACGGGCCTATAGTTACTAACTAAATCCCTACTCCCGGCCTTATAAACCAGACTTATTATAGCGTTTTTCCAGTCTCTGGGCAGTCTGGACTGCCTTGGAGACATGTTAAACAGTATAGCTTATGGTTCAGCAATTACATCTGATAAGGCTTTCATAATTCTAGGATGAATATCATCAGGACCACTGGACTTATCAGGTTTAAGATGCTGAAGTAGCCTTAAAACAGTACCTTTCTCAATGACTACAGGGTCCATCAGCAAGCCGCCGCGATCACAATAAATCACTGGTCGTTCCTCATTACCGATAGAAAACACTTTACTGAACTAGTCCGATAAAGCTTCAGCTTTTTCGATATCATTTTCTGCCAATCTGTCTTAGCAGCGCATTCCTGAATGACTGATATGTTAGCTCTCCATAAATTTGGGCGAAGTGTAACCTGATCGTATAACATGTCCCTAGTTCTAAACATGAACGACAAAACAGCGTGATCGCTGTACACTAATGGCGAAAGAATATTTAGGTGGACAATATCCTCAGTATCATGAGTGATTACCAAGTCCAACAGAGAAGAACCTTGGTTAGCACCAAAACGTATGGGTTTGGATACACGCTGCATTAGTGCATGCTCCATTATTGTTACCAGGATCCTACTATCAAAGAAGTTTATAGATCCTTCTGTGGTCATCTCAGTCCAACTAATATCAGGTGCATTAAAGTCTCCTATTATCAAGCATCTGGTATTCGCACTCAAAAGATGAATGTGCTCTAAAATAAAGTCATCAGCTGAGCAGATCGGGCTACGATAGATGATACCGAGCATAAATGTACTACATCCTATAGCCAATTTACAGCTAATGATTTCACAAGTACCGCTATCATGGGACGCGCTAGCAGAGGAGCGGATATTTATATTATTGACTATATATAACAGGACGCCACCTCCTTTTCTACATCTATGTCTATCACTCCTGAGATAATGGTATCCGAATAACTCTGGTGTAATGTCTAAGTCATGGACTAACCAAGTTTCTGTCACTGATACGATGAGTGGCTTTAATCTGTCCACTAATGCTTCTAGTTCATAGAACGTATTTCTCAGACTACGAGCATTGGCATATAAAACTCCTAAGTAGAACGGCCTATCCACACAGGCCTTGGTAGCATTCGCTTCCACGACCTGAGTATCCGAAAATCCACTAGCCGGAGATTTTCCTCACCGTTTTGCCGACGAGTTTCAAGTTCAGCTAGTGCTTTCTTCCTTTTTATTCTATCTTCGAGAGACATGTCAGGTCTAACCCGTATATCGGAATTGTCGTGACAACGAGCGCTATTTAACAGGAGATCCCGTTGCTTCTCCGATCCTAGGATTACCTTAGGGAGTCTACGTGGTCGAGGTTCAGCATTTTCCTCAGTCCTCTTGCCTACTCTAATCAGTTTTTTGACATAAAATCCTTTAGAGTCATCTAGTAAGATACTACGAATATATTCTCCCAGCTTTCCTAAATCATTCTCCTGTCTAATTTTGGGATCAGGGTAGTTTGACTCCAGCAATTTGCTCACAATAATATTCGATAAGATTAGATTCTTCTTCTCAGTCACGCCAGGGTGGGTTTCTCTCTTACTATCAGATTTTGGTAGTGCATTTAATGACTCACAATGGGAGTCCACCAGTGACTTGCTAACCATCTGCGTACTGTGTACAGCCTCTTTCTTTTCGTTTCGTTTTCTCCGTACTGTAGTCCATTTTTCATCCCTCAGGACACCGGCACTATTTGGAGCAGTGACGGTTTTATCCAGATCTTCAGTTTCCACCAGGGGTGCATGGTTACCAATGTCAGTATCAGGTGGCACTACCCCCCTCGTTAGTTTTAACGGAGATTTCACTTTTTCGTCAGTCAAAGTCGGTTGTTTAAAGCGTCTCGTAACAGCAAGTACTACACTGACA